GAATCATTTATATTCACATCACATGAAAGTATACAATGAAAATAAATTGATAATAACTGGAGGAATGAGTAAAACAGGTCTTAACAATAGAGTAGATATATTGGATTTGAGATCAAATCAATTGTTAGATTCTTTGGATTTAGTAACAGAAAGTCCATTAATGTTAACAAACTTTTCGTGTGAATTGGTATTGAGTGACGAAAAGCCATTCTTATGGCTGATCGGCGGCGGAGGAAATTGTTTTAGTTTTGGCACACATTTCAATGAAACACATATCGTTCCCCTATTTTTATAATACTTTTGAACCATTTTATATAATTATAAATATATTTAAACTTAAAATATATGATAAAATGATGACAAATGGATGTACATATTAATTATGTTAATGACAACAATAAAATATATTTTCAATAAAAGTTTAATTTGTGTACTGTTATAACATAATGATAATGTTCTTGAATAATGTACTTTTGTACTATAAATATCGCACTAATATTCAAAAATTCAAATAAGTTATCAAATAATTAATTTTTCAGAATTTGTTGATTTAATATTTAAATTGCAATTCATTTGTCAATCAAATGGCGCCAAAGTTTCTAAAGAAAGCCAAAGAAGTGGCGAAGAACGCCAAGAATGCAAAGAATGTGGTGAAGGATAAGATGGGGAAAGTGAAGGATAAGGTGCAGAAAGTGAGGGATCAGATCAACAAATGGGAGACAAATACTGGCGAATGTATTGTCACCAAAGAATATCGTCAGATATTGGCTAAGTTTTCGTACATTCTGTTGGTTTGTCTCCTATTTCTGGCGATCGGAGAGATATTTCTAGCGATTGTTGTCTACATAAAAGTCGCTCAATTATCCCAACTGTTGACCTCGTCTACGATCACGAGAATCATCTCATATATAGTGAGCACTTTTGTTGTGCTCACTATTTTTGATTCATTCTTTCTGTATGTCATCGATGGCTACCAAACGGCCGAAGAAGAACGCGACGTCACTTCCATCAAAAGATCTCACGTTTTGATCAAAGTGTCATATTATGCTTCCTATCCATTGGCCGTCATTTTGATGATATTAATGATCTGGTGTTCACAGCATTTCAAAAGCATTCGCCAAGAATTGCACGAATCAATGGGTCAACACATGAAAGTCTATTCAACTGATCTCGTGTCCAATGAAGTGATTAACCAAATTCAATGGACGTATTACTGTTGCGGACAAAGCAATTACGGCAATTGGTTTGATGACTCACTTTTGCCAATTAATGGAAACGACGCCAATTGGCTTCGGCGCCGATATAGTTGGTCTAACCTAACCATCACCGACCGTAAGCGTCTTCCGTTCACTTGTTGTAAACACGATTTGATCCATTCCTGTCGTTTCAATGACGCCAAACCAAATACTAATGATTTCCAGCGAAACGGTTGTACGGAAAGTGTGTTTCAAGAGTTAAGTGGATTGAAAAGAGGAATTCAATCCTACTTTTTGATGCAATTCTTGATTGTCTTTACAAACATGATTTTACTCGATATAATCCAACAATCGCTTCAATCCCAATATGACACTCGTCTCGACCCCCCGACCGTCCGATTCCCGACATTTAACGCAATTGTTATACTATTAATTATCATTTGTCTCTATTTCTTCACTTTTTAAATTATTTGTTACCCTTTAGTGTATTTTAAAAATTTTTGTTCAATTTTGATATTTATTTTTTAATTAAATAAAAGTTTTAAAAGTTGATTAGTAGAACAAAAATATGCCAAAACTATGCATCAGAGCTTTCATAGCTGTAATTCATGAAACATTAGAAGCTTTACGTGTTTCTAATAGAGTATGAATTGACTAAAACTGTAGATAAAGTGATCAAAACTTGTTGTACAGTAAGTGATAGTAAGCGCGCGATTAGTCTATAATAGACTATTCGATTGAGTGATTGATTGAGAACTGAAATCACATTCACTTCTCATTTCTTGTCAGAGCTTTTAATTGCAATTAATTTGTGTTTTATTTCAATATTTGTTATCATTTTTGTACTCAAAATGAATTCAAAGTCTTTCGTGAAGCGAGTGATCAAACGGACGCCTCTGAGGACCAGTTTTGTCCAGAACTCTCTGCCGTCGAGTGGATCCACTTCGCAGAGCGCTTCCATTTACAATGCAATCGCTTGCAAACCAATTGCAGGTAATTATCATTGAATTAGACCACCATTTAGTGAAGAATAAGTTGTTGTCTTTGCACTCAAGTGGAGGAATACAACCGACTTCTCATCAAAAACCAAAGACTGGCCAAAGAAAACGCTTTACTGAAGACAGAGTTCAGTCGCTGTAAAGAAGTGTTGCGATCGAAGAGCAATGAAAACATTGATCTCAAACAGGAAGTGATTAACTCGAGGAATGAAAGCGAGAAACTCAGACACGAGCTCAAGATTAAGAGCTCTCTGAACGTCACTCAAGTAATAATTGTTATGAAAGGAATTCACGAGTCTTTACAACAATTAATTGAATTCAAATTCAAACTCAAACTTAAACTGAATTTATTGTGATTTTTGTATAGATTTGCGATCGAATCAAATACGCAAACAGTCTTCTGATTGATGAGTACTTCCGAGTGAATGAGATTAAGGAACAGATGAATGAATTTGGAAACAAAGTCGAGACAATTAGAGGAATAATGACTTCACTTGAATCGATGGTCGATCCAAACAATGCCGCTCTGGAGGGCACTGAACATGAAATAAGTGGTGAAAGAATGGATTCGTTGCGAACATTGAATGACAGTTTGAACCGAAGAGAATCGCGTCGATTCTCATTGACACCTCTGGAACAGGACATCCGAAGGAGACTCTCGTCCGACAAAATCAAACATGACTTTCAAGTGATGACAGAATTGAGTACAATCTTAGAGCTCTCGCGTGAAAACAGAATCTCTTCCATCGGTTTCATTGAAGACTTAAACTCTGGAGATATCACTGTTGGGCAAAACAATGGCATTGAGTCCATCGCCTGTGTTGTCGGCGTTGATGGCCAACCGGTACGAGTGCCGTCTTTGGCCAGCACTTCAAGTGCTCAGCCAATGACGAGCTCTCGTTTGGAAAAAGCGGTTAAACCAAAGAAGACTTCAAAACCGAAAGAAACGACTCAAAAGAAAGTTACGAAACAAAAGACAGTGAATAAGAAGAAACAAACAGTGGATAAGAAACAAATGAAGCCTAAGAATGACGAGAATGTGACTGAAAATAAGGCCGACTATTCTGTGTATGACTTCACTGACGACGACGACAAAGAGAATGTCATTCCTCCGGTCACCAGAAAATCGAAACGAATCAGATCCGCGGCAATCAGAGCTCGCATCTGAATTGGCGCACAAAACTGGTCTCTGAAGTCGATCGCATTGTTGGCTCACATCTCTTCTTATTTTAATAGTTATTTCTTATAACGTTTTCAATATTATATATAATTTGTTAGTTGTGTTAAAAATATTTATTCAGATATTACTTTATATGTATTGTATTTTATTATTGTTTATAAGTTTGAATTTTATTCATTGAATTTTATGAAATAAAAAGTTTTGTTTCTTTTATTACTTTTGTGGTTCTCTCGCATCCAATATCTTAAGCACTTCTTCGCACGATTTCTCTGCTAAAGTTTTATAGCTTTCAATTTCATCCCATATCTTAAACATATATTAAAACATTAAAATTATTTCAATTTAATGATTAAAATATACCTTATTTTTGTAATCTTCATCTTTAATGTCGGAGAGATTTGTGATGACATTATAATAAGCGCCCAAAACTCCCACTTTAAGACAATTAACTGAAACCTATGAAACAATTCTTGTCACTTGATATATAAATTTTGTCATCACATAAATTAACAAAACCTGTAAATCACTTCTCGACGCATAAATGATAATTTGTGCCAATTCTTTGCAAACATCCCATAGTTTGGACACAATTCTGGCTAAATTCAAAGGCACAGAAATGGCACCATTTATACCCTTTTTAATCGCTTCATCCCGTCTGCAAATCAATAATTGTTTAACATTTGTTTAACTTATATATTATTTCTTTAGATAACATACGCGACCACTTCTTCTGGTGTAGTCTTCGGTAGTTTAAGCGCCGAAACGTAATCTTCGTAAGCATTAGTGTCGGCGTCAATAGAAGCCAGCATTTCATTGATTGATGAATGAAGAGGTGGTAAAAGTCTTCTCATGGCTTCGTCGTTGTGTTGCAACACTTTCTTTCCGTACGAAAGTTTGCCAACCATTGCGGCCAAAGCGGCGCCCAATGCGCCAATATTTGCGGCCACAGAACCCCCGCCGGGCGCTGCAGTTCGCGCGGCCACTGATTCCACAAACCCTTTAACAGACTTCTTAATGAGTGCATCAATTTGAGTATCGGTCAACATATATTCAATTATGCGTTGATTGGGAACAAATGGTCCCAAAGAGTTGAGCCCTAAACGATTGATAGCTAAATGGACCTTCTGGTCCTCCTCCAGAACAAACAGATTGTCNTATATGCAATTCGGGCCCCATTTAACGCCCCCTCCACTACTGCATCGGGAGAGCCGACAAATGTATAGACAGTGCGATTAGTGGACTGTCCCGGGTCTACATCCAATAGAGAGACACCTTCGGTCTCCCGAATGGCATTTGCGATCGCATTGATTATCTGTTACGCAAAATGTTATATAAAATTGATGTAAAAAGTCTACATTAAATTTAATGTCAATTTCATCCCTCAGTTCAAAATTGTCATCAATTGATAGAAAACTTTCTTAAATTTCAAATTCATTGTCAAGGTTTGGGAAAAGAGAGCCTTGAATTTGAAGATCTATTGATAAATAAGCCAATGAATGGTTTATTATATATTCTGAAAACGTTTCTTCAGATTAGAAATTAAAGAATTTCTATAATATTTTAAATTTTTAGTCAACACATAAATTACTGATTTAATCACAAAAAATAATTTTTACTCGTATTAAAATGTAAACCTGTATTATAATAGGAATTTATAAAATTAAAAGCAAATTTATAAAATATTTGTAATATTCTGGTGTTGTCAACGAAATTCAATTTAAATATTAATCAATATTTATTAGTTAGTTAAGAATATATACAGTATTTATCTATAATGTTGCCCTCGTTTAAATATTTTAACTTGTAAGTTACCTTTATAAGTTAAAAAACAATATACTGTTAAAATAATGTAATAAATAGATTAATGTAAATTAATTAATTGTTAATAAAGCTTGCATTTAAGTTCATAATGAATCATAACACACAACACAGTTAAATCGGCCGATTTTAAAGAATACTATAATATACGCTTAAAATAAATTCTTAAGTAATTTTTACTACAATTTAAATATTATTTTTAAAACTTGATTTATTATATTTTATTAATATTTGTATAAACAAATTTATTTTAAGAAAAGTTTTTGAACATATGCTTAAATTTACCATAAGTTAAGAATAATTATTTGATTATCTAATTAATATGTTAAAAAGTGTATCATGGTAAATTACAGTAACGGTTCAAACCTGTGGATCTCTTCCTTCTGAAAAATTGGGAACGCATTCAACGATTTGAGACATTGTCTTAAGTCGTGTACTAAATATCTCTTCAATGGATAAAACTTTTGAAAAATAATACTTAAAAGTAGTGTTTCTTAAGTGGAAATCTACCAAATAATAAGATTTTGTCAACCAATTCAATGCCTTAAATAGTTCTCAAAAGTTAGAATTCAATTGACAACTGAAGATAGCCTTCAACACGACTAACAAGTATTTTAATCATTACTTGTCTTCTTGTCTATGATTTACAGTTATGTAATATTTATACAAATATTTATCATCATAAAAGTTTAAACAATTTATTACTACTCTAACAAATCATTTCTAAACAAATCGCAATCAATTTCAATACATTTAAACATAATTGCAAACTTTTAATTTAATAAATGAATACATTTATAGTCATTTCAAGTGATTCAAGTAATGGCATATAAATTGCTAAAGAATAGAGATATAGGGCTAAAAGTGGGATACATTTATACGACAACATAAATATGATTCAAAAACCAATAAACTATAATTAAATCAATAAATTGTGACAAAAAAGGGG